ATATTCCACAGTCTTCGCCCAATATTGAGCTATGTAAACAGTCTTTTGATTCCCCTATATTGGGGCCTTTTTGCAGTAAATTTGGTGTATAAGTTAGTTGGGTACTATAATTTCGTATAATTTATATGTACAAGTTTGACAGAGCAAAGTTACTGTCCGGTAATCTTTTTAGGTTAGACGTCTCTTTCTTACGTTTTATAATAAGGTTACTTATAGTATATTTGATGTATGTATGACATGAGAGCATTTTTACTAACTAGAAAGTGTTTTTCTGAGAAAAAAACACATCTCAGTAAAACTAATGACTTCTTTGCTACACTCAGAATCTAAAATACAGACTTTATAGAGGGTGTAAGGGTTTCTCAAATGACGTTTATCTAACAAATTTTCCATCTACCCTAGAACAAATCATAGCTATGCCACTGGCTGTGTTGTCAAGGTCTTTCATATAAAAATGCTTGCTTATATCAGTTATATCATTGTTTTGTCTAGTCACATCTTTCGTTATTTTCTCCCTTTGAAATGTTTCATTAATTTTATGTCATTGATTTCGAATTTTGTGTTTTTGGTCTCGCATAATATTATTTAATACGTTCACTGGAATCGTCTTATGTAGGACGTTTGATGTTATTATGTATCTAAATTGTGTTAGTTTCTTTTTTTCACACCAAAGTTTCATTAAAGTACATACAGAAAAAATAATATTTCAGTACTTATTTGAATTTTAAGGAATCAAAAAAAATTAACCAACATAGATGGTAATAGCCAGTCGATGCTTGAAGATTTAACTATATACAAGTAAATACTTATTACATTTAAGCACATTTTAGTTTTTAAGAATTATTCAATTAATGTGACAATGTAGGTATGGTATATATATCTACTTTTAAAGTTACAATAAAAAAAAATTCAGAATTGTTATAAATATTATTGAAATTATTAATTTAATTAATTTAATTTTTAACATGAAAAATACCTATAATTTATAAGGTTATCATCTCAATTATAAATATACATTAATATTTAATTGTTTAATGTTATTAATTAACATATTTACATGCACACACACAATATATGCGTATAGTAAGAAACACACGTTTTCTATTATAATACCTGTACACATTTGTTTTGCAATAATTCGAAGGTCATTTAGAACAAGAAAACAATAGAATAAAATATAGGTAACTAATTGACATACTGAGCAATTTGATGAGGTACCTATTGAATTTAATAGAAGAAAAATGAAAAAATAGATTTTTGTTGGTACCTAAGTAGTTAAGTGTTCGAGTATAATATTATTGACATTTGATATGGGTATATCTACCTATCTATATATTTGTATAAATAAAAATTGGTACTTACCTATTTTTCATATGAAATATTAAAGTTTGGTTTTTTGAGTAATTGTATTGTATACTATGTACTCGTATTAATCATCTAATATCATCTGACTTCAGCAGTTGCTTACTAGAATAAAAATACTGGGTAATGCCTCTGTAATAGATACTTATCTGGTTACTGGTGTTTGAGTGTACTTGGGTATCTATTTAATCTATAATTATGAAGAATTACTTGAAATGCTTACAATACTCTTATGATAGGTATGAGTAAGACTAAAATAAATAGCTACTTGTAATGTTGAAACTTAAAAAACAATAATTTGTCTACCAATATTCACACACAAATTGTGTGTAATTTTTTTTTAGCAGTCAAACTTCTACATTGATAACATAATAATATTTATGTTAGAGTGGTAAGGCAATATGATTTTTTCCCGATATCCGTATAACGGTAAATAGTCATTCCAATATTCCGATGTTTGAAATCGAATCCTTGAGTTGACATTAAAATTAACCGATTAAATCAGTTAAAAATTCAATAGATCCTATAGAAAACTTTTCTTCGAAAATATTGTTTTTAAATAAAAAAAATATCGATATTCGATACCCTCAATATAGATTAATGCCGATTTTCACCACTAATTTGTATAATACAAACTGTTGTATTTACACGTAAATAAATGTTTTGCGTATACTAAATTTATCATAGATAAAAAAAAAAAATACTGTCAATTTTAGCGGTGGTATAGTGTAAATATGATTATGAACTGATCAGACAAAAACCATAAAGAAATATATTTCTATAACTGATAAATATTTTACTTTTCAATAAGGTAAGCGCTAGTTCATAATGTTATACGAAAAACCTATATTATAAATGTTGTACTCGTGCTGCAGTTGTTTGCTACTACACCGTCTACACTGCATGTTCATATAATTATGCTGTAGTGACGGAATTTCATACATTGTGGTGCACTAAATAAAAACTTCAACCCTCTACTTCCCCCTAGAAATTGATTCAGAGCTCTCCCTCCACTGAAAAAAAAAAAAAAAATAAATAAAGAGAGCGTTCACTTAAGCACAGTAATACAATATATTATGTAAGTAATAGTAGGTACCAGCTACTTTTTGTCGAACGATAGGCACATTATTCTATTGTATTGTTGTAAAATTGTATAGATACATCGAAAACGACAATAATAATATAGTGCCGTACAATAAGCACGAATCATTCGTTGGCAGTCTGTGTAATAATAGCAATGGTATTTTTTCATACACCGAGTGTACCTACATAGGTATTCTACTATATTTTATTATAATAACCACGAAAACATGTATTCTAAAATGTGTGTACCTAGGCTATTGTTATAATCATTATTATTATTATTATTATTATTATTATTATCGTTATTATTATGTATTGTGACACGCTGTATTATACCTTTACCTAGTATGACAATAATATAAATCAATTAGAATTATATTATAATACAACATGCGTCATACTTAAGGAGTGTTTAAATTTATCATTTTAATGGACTCGACGAAAATATACCACCATTTGGCTAAATGAACCTGGGCCCCTTGCCTCCTGGCGCTTTGCATAGATCCATCGAAATCTCAAAATCTCGAAGGCACTAAAATATTATGTTGTTATAGGCACCAGCTAGGCGCGTAGCCAGGATTTTTAAAGGTTTTAATTTTATACTTAAATAGGTACATCTTGTGGGAGCGGGGGGGGGTTGCTTCACTCTTATCCTCCACGGAGTCATAAAATCACATATTAATAAATCATTTTTAATTTGTATACCTAATATTACTAGCACACTGACATGGTGTTAAAATGTTATAAAAATGTATCTAAATTTCATGATAAACAATAATAACAAATATGAAGTAGAGTTATCTAATTACACATTTCATATGAATCCGAAGCATTTATACATTTATATATTTTAGGCTTGAATACGGCCAGGGAGCGTGTATAATACTCAAAATACTTCCCTTCAACGTGCTTAATAGATACTATTGGTATCAGGTACCGTGGTGTAACATATTGCAGGTTATATTTTTATTGAATAAAATTGGTATATCCACTCTTCCTTCCTTTAAAAAAGCTCCACAATCAGATAGACCAAATCTTTCGCGTAACTTTATTTGTTTTTTCGGAAAGTTTCTTTTCCCATTTATCCCTCTCTCCACCAGTGAGGGTTTTTCCTATATTAAAAAATAAGTAAAATAGCTATTTTGTTACGAAATCCAATAATTCAATTATTTATCATTTAATTTCTAGTGGACACAAAGTAAGCAAAACCTTACTCTACTACAGGGTGTCCAATAGACTTGACTAAGTTCATTTGGAGATGAAAATCTTCTTGAAAAAAGCCCCGGTATAATGAACATTTGCGTTTTGCCTGATTCAGAAAAATACAATTTTACTTAGGTAGGTACCCAATTGCAGGAATTTAAAATCCGTATTTGAGGTGTTGTCGAAGGTCACGGACCGGTCTGTCCACCAATATTCAACATTTTTGATTTCCGCGTGCTCATATAGATCTGGTGTAGACTGTACATATTTATAGGTACATTGCGGCGATTATCATTTGCGTATCGTTTGTTTACCTCGCGCAAACATATCATTCATCATTTTGCTCATCAATATATCGGACAATTGGTAAAAAAAAAAAAAAACTTCCTTATTTTTCAGTGTTTTTTTTTTCCGTAAAAAATGACAGCAGCTTTACACGATCTGAATTGACAAGTTTTGACTGATTATATTGATACATTTTGGCTGACCTCATCGTTAAACATCGACTGCTAATAGTCCTCTCAACTAGATATTCTAGTTATTTTGTTTTATAATATCTAGTTGGTTTGGGTCGTTGGTTAGGTTAGGTACAACTCACCCGCGGTTATCATCGTATAATGTAGGTATAATGCATATTATATTTTAAAAACAGGAATACTTTCTATACTTTCCTACCTATAACATATGTATGTATTTATATATATTTGAAAATATGTTTTTTACAACCAAGCAATTTAAAAATTATTAAAACTGCATATTAAGCTGAAAGTTAGAAAACAATTTATGATTTTAGATACTTCTAATCCCTTTCAGCTCTTCTGTTGATAAACATTTTGATGGGCAATTATCTTACGAAAAAAGTTTAAAAGAATAATATTGATGCGTAAATGATGTACGGCAGTACGTATTCTACCACTTGTGTTTTACCTGAATTGGCTGTATTATAAAAGAATAACATTAAGAATACGTTTAAAAAATATATATACACACATTTTTAAATTTAAATAGATACTAAACTATAATTACCTACAATACGCTTATATGTAGGTATCTAATCTAAATAGGTATTCAGTTTTAAATAACTACCTATACTTTTACAAACAAAGTGGATATATTATGCATATTTCGCATTAAGTATTTGTTAATGAATTGATATCGTGGGACAAATTAAACTTTAACATAATATGCCATCATTGTCATTGTTATATCTAAATAATGATGTACATATTTCGGTACTATTGTGTCAAATCGACATTGGTAAGGATGTGAATAGGTACCTAGATGGCGCTAGGGTGCTGAATGTTTATACCTATTCGTCGTCGCCCCCATCCGTTCGGTGATCATCTGTTCGTGATTACTTATCTGACGCAAAATTTCGCCTTTTGTGTGTTGTCGTTTTGTGATATTCAAGTGTACTGTGATGATTTTTCTCAATAAATAATAGTTATTATAATAATATTGTAACAGAAACATTATCGTAATCATGAGTGGTTTTTTATCTAATTTTAAGGATGTGTAGTTCAACGTTAAAATGTTGGTGTTAGGCCGGCAAAGCTAGTCATGCAATGATGTCTCATGAGTGAGTAGTAAAAATTGTATTTTATTTCTTGGTGGGCTTATATTTGATTTCCTAGTTATTTAATCGGCAAAATGGATTTTTAATTAAAATGACAATTCGTTACAACTTGATAATAGCGAGATCATCAAATGGTAGAGTTTTTATTTTAAGGTCAACCGGTTGTCAAATAGATAATCGATTAGTTTCGGTCCAACGCTTTCTATCGATCTGAAAAGAAATTCACAATCTGATAGGAACTGTGGTTTGGGGTATGTTAGTTATTTTTGCATGACCCTTGCACCTGTTGGAATTTGCTACTTGATACCAGTCTTAGTTTTTGTAAGGATTCTTATTTTACTATCAATTTATTTACTTATACAAATTTTAAGATCTGTATATAACTCAAGGTTACTTCCTGTTTTTAATGTTTCAGGATTCAATTTGTTCGTGGGAAAATTAAATCAATTGTGAGCTATTTATTTATATTTATATACACGATTCTTATTTGCTTAAAAATTGTTTCTTTTTGCACAACAAATTGTTTATTTTTTAGAGATGAGTATAAGACAACATCTTTTTTTATGGATGCATTGACACCAGATATTAGAATATCAAAGTCTGGTCGGAGTTTTTCTCCTGTACAAAATCCAATGCCTAAAATGGCTAATAAACCGTGGAATGCTGCCACGTATGTATTCATTTTTGAGAATAATAATATGACTACCTATCATTAATTCATAAAAAAAATGAAAATGTATTAATACAGGTCTTGTTTTAAATGAAGTATAATTTTTTAGTGTAATATGTCTAAAACAAGGTTTAATTAATTTCAAAATTAAAAATATAATAAAATTAATTTAAAATAAAACTGTATTGTATTTTAATACCTACAATTAGTTTGCCTTTATTTATTAATGAAATAATCTCTTATCTATATGTTAATTATGCTATAAAAATTCCATTGGTATATTGATACCTATTATCCAGCAACTTTGATCCCATGTAATCAGTGTATATTTGTTTTTAGATAAATATTAGTATTATATTACATATTATAGTTTCTGTCAGTTGCACATTATATTGTGTATTATTGAATTTGTTATGATTTATAATTTTGCATTAAATAGTATTTTATAAATTTAAATAACATATGATTAATAATTTCAATTTTAAATTAGATTCTTAATATTTTATATTTTTTTTATAAATTTATCTAATTGTATTGTGTTTAATTTATAATATTAAATTTTATATTTTACTCTAAATGATAATTTTATTTTAAAAAATTGTTCGCTTTAATGTTCATTAAGTGCATAAAATTAATAGTTTAGTTTATATTAATCATTTTCACAAACAATATTATTATTATTTTTAATTTGTAAAATAATAAACCTAAATTTACGTTACATAAAAATGTAATAATACATTTAATTTTTTGTGCAAATTAGGATTAATAAATTGTGTTAACATTTTTGTAGTTAATTTGTTATAAAGTTACCTTAGAACTTTTTGTTAGATCTAATTTTTTTTTAAACTACATTTAAATAATATTTTAAAGTATTTTTGCTAATTTCATATTTAATAAAATATTATGTTTGATAGATTATGCATAATATCTTTTATTTAAAAATATTTTAATTCTTTCAAAAAATGGTGTTATATGTTTACAATTATAAACAATATATTTTAATTAGTTTTTCTGCTGATGAAATTGCAATGAGTCGATGTAAATCCCCTGTGGGGTCATCTTGCAGTACACGAGTTGTCCGCCATGAACGGGGAGGATCTGCAGATACTGGACTTATAAGACCAGATAATTTATCAAGTTATGCATCCAGCGAAGAACCCAATCCATCTGGAAATAATGAAGATGACACTGTATGTAAAATATTTATTATTTTATACATAATATTATTATTAGGTATTTAATAATTTTAGGAGATATTTTATTCTTATGGTCCATACAATAATGCTGAATTAGCTGATGATTCTGATGGTACAAAAAAAAAAGTTGCAATGGATCATATCCGATCTAAAATTGGACGCACAAAGGAGTCGATACGAAGTGAACAAACAGCAAGAGATGGTATATTTCAGACTTGCTATTATTCAATTTTATGATTTTTAATATTATTTTGAATATTTGTTTATAGATAATGTTAATGAATATTTAAAATTAGCATCAAATGCAGATAAACAACAATTAGCTCGTATAAAATCAATTTTTGAAAAGAAAAATCAGAAATCATCTGTTACTATCTCACAATTGCAAAAAAAACTTGAGGGTTATAATAAGCGGTTAAAAGACTTAGAAACACATGGGTTCACAACATCACATCATTTAAAACAACCAAAAGAAATGTTACGGGATGTTGGACATGGTTTAAGGTAAATTGTTAATGCTGAATTATTCAAGGTGATTTAATGCGAAACACTCATGAGAGTGTTTCTCCCAGCTTACACAATTAATGATAATATTTTTTAACCATAGGCATGTTGGTGGTAACATTAGAGATGGAATTTCTGGTTTATCTGGGTAATTATAAATATATTTATTTAATTGATTTTATCAGTATTATTTAACTTTTATTGATGATAAAAAATTTAAAAAAAAGTCCGCATAGGGTATTAGTTTAACTTTTAATACTTATATGATATTTATTCTATAATTAATTATACTTATGAAAAATCAAATTGGTACATATTTATAATGCATGTTTATTAACTTTCATTTTTGTCTTGGTTTTTGTTAAATTTATAATTATATTAAGATTTTTCCTTTGTAATAAATATCATTATTTTAGTATGTATTATATTGTTTATCATTTTACACCTTAATAATATTGAGATAATATTTTAATATCAAAATAATATAATAATATAAATGACTAGGGTATGATTTTGGATAGATCACAATAAGCTAATTAGTATTCAACTACTATAGTGTTTCTCTAATTATTTTTATACTTATTTTTTACTAGAAATGTATAATATTTCAGATAAAAATTTAAATTTAAAGTAAAAACCATTTTTATTTTTATAATTTATTTGTTATCAGAATAATATGCATTGTATTAAGGAGTAGTAGTAGCACTTTATTTATTTAAAATAATTGGTAAATAACCTAACACAAATATATACATACATGCATACATACAAACATACATACAGATATATAAATATTATTATTGTAAACCAATTATAGTATTATTTGTTTAAATTAATATCTGTAGACTACTAAAACAATTAAATATATTATAATAGCATGACGATTGTCTTACTTATTTAAGTCCTTCTAATAAAAAATTAATTTTCAGTGACACACTATAATATCATTATAATTGTTCTTAAATTTTAGTCAGTTGTAAATTGTCAAGATTTTAATATAAATGTAAATTAAATATTTTTTTTTATTTTGTCCTTCTAAATTTTATTAGATTTCTTAGAATTAAATTAATTTTTTTTTTTTACAATTTAGTAATAATAATTAGGTTATTAATTTTTTTTTGTTAACATAAAACATACATTATATAATTTTGAGTTATTTTTAGTATGTATTATTTAAGTACTATTATAAATTACTGTTATTTTAACAAACATGTGTTTAATATATATTTTGCATTTAAATTTTTGTGTTACTAATTTTTAGTTTCTAATATGTGTTTTATATTTAGATCAGTTATGTCGAAACCACGAGAATTTGCTCATCTCATTCGCAATAAATTTGGTAGTGCTGATAATATCAATTCAATATCAAGTTAATATTTATTATTATTATTATTTTTTATTTATGAATTAAATTATAAATTGTTATTAATCAATTAATTTAGGATCTAGTGAAGTTGATTTAACTGAAGAAAACAGTGATCAACAAAGTGGCCGTAATCATCATGGTAGTGCTACTTTGCCTGGTGGTGTTGGTCTTCATGCAACTGGTGGCCCTGCTGTATCTCGTAGTGAAGATGGTGCTTCAGAATGCAGGTAATTATTGTTTTTCAGTGGTTATCCTTATCAACTGAAGATTAAAAAAAAATTAATAAAATTATATTTCATGGAAATTTTTGTGTGAGCTGTATATATTTATTCTATAGACTATATTTTATAGTCTATAGACTATTATTAAAAAGATAAATGTAATAAATTTATATTGAATGTTGGATTTTAGTTCTGTGACTAGTGAATCAATTCCTCCGCGAACAGGGCCTGGAGCTCCTCCACCTCCTGCATCTGCAACAACTTCTTTGGAACCAGTTTGGTCCGAGTTGGATCATTTACGCTCAAAAATGGAACACATTAAACAGTGTGTAAATAAAGATATTGCATCTTTAAATCATTCTCTTCAGGAAGAGCGTTTTCGAACTGAGCGGCTTGAAGAGCAAATAAATGATCTCACTGAACTACATCAGAATGAAGTGGAAAATCTTAAACAAACCATCACAGATATGGAAGAAAAAGTTCAATACCAGAGTGAAGAGAGACTTCGTGATATTCATGAAATGCTTGAAGCGTGTCAAACAAAAATGTCCAAAATGGAACATCAGCAGGCACAGCACCAACAATACGTTACTTTAGAAGGTTTGGATAATTCGAATGCGCGTGCATTAGTAGTGAAATTAATTAATGTCCTACTAACTGTACTCCAGGTAGTGTTACTTTTAGTCGCCACATTTGCTGGTATTCTGATGCCATTTTTAAGAACTCGTTTAAGAATTATTACTACAACTGCTGTTGTTGCTGGGTTATTCATTGCAGTAAAACAGTGGCCAGACAGTGTCAGTCTAAGTGATTATCTCATTAAACATGGCAAACAAGCTCTGTTATCTGTTAAATAGTTCCATTTTTGTATTTATTGCAACAAAATATCGATCCATTAAGTATTGGATTGAAATAATTTGTTCATTTTTAAGGCCAATTACCATGACAAATAAAAAATAATATCGTGACAGTATTAGGGAAAAAATATTGAGCATATCGTCTTTACTTTATTAAATTATTCTACTAGACAATATAATTAGTATACAACTTACTTTATCTCTTTTACCCTGCCATGACTATTGTTTTTATTAAAATAATATAATCGTCTTTTTTATATAAATTATATACCCTTTACATAAAATATATTATTGTTTAATTTATTTTATAATTGATCGGCAATGAGGGTCATTGGTACCTGTGGTGATAGTGAAGACAACGAAATGGTAGCACTGAACTTTATTGTAAGTCATAATGATAATTTTTTTTATTATAGCATATTTTTTTATTTACTTTTATATCTATTATAATATTATTTTGCTTGATCCTCCTCCCCCTCTCCATGAAATTGTGTAGCTTAGAAAGCCTTGTGATTTTTAATATTATTAATTTTTTTGTATATACTCATAAATTAAATGATGTGTAATGTATAGAAAATGTATGCCTTTTGCGATCCAAATTTTTAGTATTTTTTCTAATGTGTAACATATAGTATTACACTTAATAAATAAACTATAATCAATACATTTTTTCAAACTTTATGTTGAAATATATATACATTAAATATACATACTTATATTTATTAATATGTAGTATTGTGTACATCCTATACTAATGTAATTATTTACTACTTTGCTATATTTCATTTATTATTATGATTTTACTTTAAATTGTGTTAAATTCTATTAGACAATTTGTTTAATTATTGGTTTTAATACTGAAACAAAAATTAATTTTATGTTAAAAAGATATTTGGTATTATTCTTTCAATATCAGATGACAATTTTACATAATTTGGTAATGACTTATGATTTGTTTAATGTCAACATAATTTTCATATTGTTCAATTTGTATGCCTTACTTACATATTTTTATTTATTTATTACTACTCAATTTCAAATGATTTTTATTATTATTATTATTACTTTTTTTTTTAATTTAATAATATTAAGATATGTGTATATTTAACATAGTATACTAGATTAGTAAATAATGCTTCAACATATTTTAAACTTAAAATTAGTTTCTGTTATCCATATGCCAGTATGACAGTATTTAAAAAACTAATTACTGTAATATTAATGAAAAATCGGTCGGTTTGATAAATCAAATATTCAATTGCATTTTTATAAATAATATCGCATATTTAAATTTACCCGAATTCTATTATTTATTTTTTCAATATTTTTATATATTCTCCCGTCCAATGCTTTTTTTTTTAAGTCTGAAATATGTTTAAGCACTATGCAAATATATATTTCTGTATTCCTTGTCAAATTGTCATATTTTTCTATATTGACTTGGAATTTATCCTCTATTGGTAAGTTTGTGTTCTTTAATTTTTTAACTTTTTCAGTAAAAACATAAAATGAAGTAAATTTAATAATGTTACCTCATACCTACCTAATTAATACCTTTTGTAAAATAATTCAATATTTCTGGTTCAATGTTAATTTGTTATGTCCATTATAAACTTGTGAAAGCTACTTGAAATTATTACTGTAAGATCTGATTATTGATGTTTAATTAATGTATTTATTAAACATTTTCAGTTAAGAAATTGTATTAAGTAATAATTTGTTTGTTTTTGCCTTATTAGAACATATTTCAATTTTATAAATCATCGTGTACTAAACAATGAATCGAAACTGTTAAAGCAAAATGTGGTGTTATTCCTTGTTTTAGAAATTTCTTGTAATAAAATAATATGAAACAAATTTTAATGAAGTGTTATAATAATAATTTTCTAATACTTTGAATTCACTGTTCTAGAACATGTTTAATTCATTAGACTTGTGATTTATACTATTTATCCATGTTTTGTAAATTGTAACGTGTATACTGTGTATAGGTACCACAACTACAGAGCAGATGAAATAAAATTAATCTGTTTTGGGATAGGACAGCCAAAAAAAAAAAACTACTTGGAAAATCAATATGGTTGTACTCTATCTAGATCCAAAATGCAAGATACTGGGGATGGGTGCTGCCATTGTTGTAAGTGGGTAAAGTGGTAAAGGTTGGATACACAAAGTTATTAAATTTATACCTGTAACAAATTGATAACCATTGATAACGATAAATGATTTGCAGTGAAGTTTGCAGGTTATACATGTTTTGAAAATACGATTTTACGATTTTCGTCAAAATTTGATATTAAAATTTGTTTTTTAAAAAAAAAAAATCCTCCATTAAATTCATTTTATTCTCCGCAAAGTACCTAATTTATAATGATCTTAACTTAACCTAACGAACTTCCTGTTGAATTTTCAAACATTTCCGTTTAGCCTAACAATTTTATATACAGAATACCTATCAAATAAAAATGACGTAAAAACTCGCAAAATTAAAATGTATATAATTAGCTCGAAAATGGCTTAAATGTTTTGAACACGTTTAGAAAATGTAAATATAAGGTTTCTGTTTAAATTTCAATTGTCTACGAATGTTTTTAACTGAATTACAACAAATAATTAAAATTGAAAATGATAATAGTAATAATTTTCGTAAATTTTCCCGTTCTTCCTACGTTTTCGTACAGGTTTTTCCAATTATTATGAAAACTACTCGGAAAGTCAAAAAATGACCCGCTCAAGGTACTGGATAAAATTTTTTTCAGGAAAAGTGTTACACTTGATACTTGGTAGCAAGGTTTCTGCTAGAAATTTTGTGCACAGTAAAAAAAAATAAATAAATTAACATTATTTTAAAACCAATACGTTCCTCGCCACGCTCCGAATCTAAAACAAATAATGAGGTACTTAAAAGTAATTCAATTGCGTTTTATATTTTATAACTGTAAACAGTCTAAAGGTCGTTTTATGATTGGTTTTAATTTGTAAACATTTTAAATTCTTTAATGATTACACAATAGTTCATTTCGGTTACAATAAGATGTTGCCCTGGTTTTATCGTTACACATTTTTATATGAGCCTAAAAATTACACCTTTTTTTTTAAAAAAAAAACAAAAACAAAACCGATTTTGTCAAAAACCGCTGCCGTTGCGTGCGTGTCCTCGTTGGTCTTGTTGATTCTCTCGAGGGATTTTAAAACGTGACCGGCTCGACCCTCGTAATTATACCAACTGTAGAAAATATGTTCAGCCCGCAGAAACCCCGAACATCGCTACAGCTGAAGTGTCAACGCCGGTTATGCTGGTTAACGATAGTTTCCCGTAAAAACCGTGTAAATAGATAAAAAAAAAATAACAGATAGATGGTACTAATTCGCGTTTTTCCGCCGAAAACGAAAACGCCACGGATTCCCGTTTCCGACGAGGTCTATTTTGTAAACAGACGTTTCCGTCGGTTATCATTGTTCCGGGGGCCGTGCACCTAAAGAATCACCTCGTAGCAATAACAATTCGTTACTGTCCACGCGTGAACGTTAAGACAATAATGTATTCATTTTTTTCCTTTTAAAAAAAAATCACACAACAATAGCCATTAAAAAACATTACAAAAGGTCACGGTGAAATAATTTAATAACACCTAACAGGTAAACGTAATAATAAAGTAATTATGAGTCGATTATATTTATAATTAATGCGGTAAAAGTTTAAATAATCGCGTAATTAAATAAATGCAACCGTTTTAATAAAATAAAAGCGTACCTACTAATTTCATTAGATTTATTTATTATTTTTTTAATTGCTTTGTCGGCAGTTTTTCATCTCTTTAATATTTCTTTCGCTCTTCGCAATATTTTTCATGCTGTTATCGAACTATCGGTATTGGATATAGGTTACAATATATGTGGGTTACGTTGTGCACTAGATTGAACTAAACGTTTGCACGTTGTACCAACGCGGATCAAAACCGTTGGTTCCCAAACTTCTTCTTTTTGTTTTTTTTTTTTTTTTTCTGTTTTTGTTTTCCGCGGAAACGACAATCGTTTTCTTTCTCTTTTCGCCGGCAACGGAAATCGCCCGACAAAACTCGCGGTGTTTGCGATCAACAACGCGAGTACGGCGTGTATCGTCGCGGATTCGACAATAATCGGACCGACAACAAACAAACAGGAATGACAGCAGCGACGCGTCGATACTAACGCAATTATTTATATTACAATATCGTTACCGGCGGCCCGTGGAACGCGTTTCCCGGGTTATGTCACGACCTCCGGCAAGGCTGATGCGAATGACGTCATGATTACATGTGGATCGGGTGGGCGAGCCGGTGCGCGGATCGAACAATTATCGTTGTTAATTTTGATGCTTTTTTTTTCCTTTTTTTCTTTCCTATGCTTTCAAACATTCGAAAAATAAAACGACAACGCGCGTAGTTTACACGATAAATAAAGTATAAATAACCGAACCGGTTATTCAAAACAATATTTTTAACGTCGACCGCGGAGTCGAGTCGAGTCGAGTCACGGTCGGCGCGCGCGCACGGTCAATCGCGTGCCCGCGGAGGAAAAATCCGAAAGAGAGACGAAAAGAAATAGGGAAAAAAACACAGAAAAAAAAAAAAACGACCACGCGTCTAGCGCCCGCGCCACACACGCGTACGCGCATAGAGGATTCGCGAGTGTCGACGCCGCGAACGACGCGAGATCGCGCCGCGCGACGCGACGCGAACGTCGACGATCGAGTTTGGTGTTGTTGGACCGCCAGCGGGTACGCGGGCCGTGGGTTTTTCGGCGGAGAGAAGGGGCCGAGCGTGTCGAAACAAATATGCGCGTAATAATATAATTCGGGCGAGACCATATCTGCGCGAAATCTGAGACAAATGCGCAACACGACAGTTATTTTTTTCTCGGAGCGAGTGATTTCGTTTAATCAATTGGACGGACTAGATAGGACCCGGCGCGCTGCCCCGGAGATTACGGCGGTTCCGGTCAGGTCGACTCCTGTCCATTTCGTGATTAGTTTGTACAAACGTACAAACGTACGTGGTTTTTTTTTTTCTACGAATTTCGTCGTTGATTCGAACTTAAAATATAAAATAATTCACCGTGTGACGCGCGACTTTTTATGTTACCGCTATGAGTGCAACGAACGATGATTTTTGTCTCGATGTGTTAGTAGGCGTGTTCAGTAAAAACGTTAGATGTCTACGATTAATTTCACCGAATTACAACGAAAAATACAAAACCGTGACATTTCTGTTTATCCGATGTTTTTCTTTAGTTCTCCCCTGTATTTATCAAGTACAAAGAAAAAAAAGAGCCGATACTGTCGACGGATGCGCCACTGTTGTAAGCGGGAAGTTGGGAAGATAGGATACGTAAAGGTTATTTAATTCATATCTGCGAGCAGAGATAAACCATAAAAAAAAAAAAAAAACGATTCTGAGCGAAGTTAGTTTGTACATGATTTGAAATATTACAATTTTTACGATTCACATCAAAATTTGATGTTAAATCAATTATAAAAAAACAAAATTACTACATCACACTGTCTTTTTCCTTTTGGACCATTGAGTAAAACTTTTAATGGACTTCCTGTTCAATTTTTAATATTTTCTGTTTGGTCAAACAATATTATATTCTGCACATAGTACTTAGCTGGTAAACATAAAATGCTATTAGAGCATTATTATGCTGTTTAGAGAAATTTTAATTTTGCGAGTTATTTACGTAATTTGTATTCGGTAGGTTTTCTGTGAATACAATTTTTTAGAATTAACAGGAAATAGAAATGCTTGTAAATTTGACAGGATGTTCATTATGGGCCGTAAAATGTGGTTAAAAAAAAAAAATCGAACTTAATGTAGAATTTTTAGAACTTCGCTCTGAATCGTTCTTCCTTAGCAACGGTTTACCATTGGTTACAGGTATAATAAAAAACATTATTCATCCTACCTTCCCTGCAAATTACCCACCTACAACAGTGACCGCACCCGTCTTCAACATCAGCTCTATAAACATGACTATATGGTACATACTTACCTTTTTGTAGTTGTATCCGAACCCTATTTTATGGATTTCGTAAAATTGCTATTCGTGATTGAGCGATCTGGAACGAGTAGAAAATATATTTTACAATACATATATGATGCACGTATAATATACATACAATATAAAATTATATGTTTTCAATATATTTTTGATTGAAACAAGTCATTTAATTAAAATAACAACACGCGATTATTTGTAAAAAGTTTAAACATTATATTTATTTCATTTCGAATGTCATGGAACGAAGACCGAAAGCCGACACGAAAACTCATTACAAATTTGTAGACTGCGGATACAATTTTTTACAGATAAAGTGTGAATATATTTATTTGTCGTCGATAATCGTCGACAATATACGGTTAAACTTGGATGAGGTGATGGGATATTCAGCGTTACCTTAATCTTATTCAGAATCGTGTTCTTTTAGCAACGGTTTATCGTCACTTCTAGATATTATTATGAATAAATTAACTTTATGCGTCCTGAATTTCCGATTTCCCGCCTGTAACAATGGCACACCCATGTTCCTGCATATCAGCGTATTTGCTATGATTTATTTAAAAACAATTTTCATTGTTGCGAGAGAAAAAAAAGTTACAAAATTTATTAAAACAATTGATATTGTAAGATTTAAATGAAAAAAAAAAAGACAAAAAAAATGCCAACGGCACGTAGTGTTCCCAAGCGGTCACCCATCCAAGTACTAACTACGCCCGACGTTGCTTAACTTCAGTGATCGGACGAGAACTGGTGTATTCAACGTGGTATGGTCGTTGGCGAAAATCTCATCCGCTATCAAGTTATTTAAACGTTTCCTCACGTATAAAGAATTATGTACTAAATTTTCAAGCATTCCTGTTCGGTTAAACAATTTTATCCATAATATAATTCCTATCAAATAAAAACAAAAGAAAAACTCGAAATATTTCAAAAATCACCAGAATTTCGGTTTACACATTTTTTTTACCACATCTAGTAAATTTCATATAAATTTCGCGTAAATATTTCTTGTCTCTACATATATATTTTAGATTCTGAGTGGAACGAAGGAGCTTATGATTTTACAAATTTACTATTTTTTTTTTATCTGTGTGCAACTTTTCTATCAGAAATCTTACTCCGATTTTCAAGTGTAACATCAAGAAAGTTTCTAAGGAAGATAATTTAACACCAATATATGAAATATGAAGAAATAAAGAAAAAATTAAGAAATATATAATGTCTTTGAAGAACCTAATATAATTGGGAGGCATTATAAAACCAAAACACTAGCTGGTTAGGCCACATACTAAGGTATAACACGATTGCAAAAGAAGTCCTGAATTGGAAACCACTAGGAAAAAGACCCTTCAGGCAGGTCTAAACAACGATATACTATCAAATAGATCTCAGAGAATCTAACAACGATAACAATGGTAAAAAGTCTTATAAAAGGTCAAGATGTTTATCAAAATCGAAAAAAAAAAAAAACCGTTATCATATTTAGTCAATGTTGGTGCAACCCGTATGAGATGTAAAATATTTTTGGTACAATGGTATTATTATAATAATTGATAATAAATTGTTACAATAATATTTAGCTTTGTGAAAAAATTGCTATCATTATAAATTGGAGCAGGTAGAAAATCTGGTAGTAAAAAAGTTCTGCACAGAAAAAAAACCGTAATATTTTACTAATATTTGTATACATTTTCCTGTTTATCTTCCGTTTTTTTTTCGATTTGTCACATTTATTGAGGAAACTACGAAGAAAATCGATGAACGACCTCTTTAAAGAACCTCACCAGTGAAATTTCCATTTAGAAAAGATGTTATATTTAAAAATCGGAGTAAGATTTCTGATAGAAAAGTTGTACACAGATAAAAAAAAATTTGTAAAATCATAAGCTTCTTCGTTCCACTCAGAATCTAAAATATATTTGTAGAAACAAGAAATATTTACACGAAATTTATATGAAATTTACTAGACGTGGTAAAAATGTGATAAAATTGTTTAACCGAACAGGAATGCTTGAAAATTTAGTACATAATTCTTTATACGTGAGGAAACGTTTAAATAACTTGATAGCGGATGAGATTTTCGCCAACGACCATACCACGTTGAATACACCAGTTCTCGTCCGATCACTGAAGTTAAGCAACGTCGGGCGTAGTTAGTACTTGGATGGGTGACCGCTTGGGAACACTACGTGCCGTTGGCATTTTTTTTGTCTTTTTTTTTTTCATTTAAATCTTACAATATCAATTGTTTTAATAATTTTTGTAATTTTTTTTTTCTCTCGCAACAATGAAAATTGTTTTTAAATAAATCATAGCAAATACGCTGATATGCAGGAACATGGGTGTGCCATTGTTACAGGAGGGAAGTCGGAAATTCAGGACGCATAAAGTTAATTTATTCATAATAATATCTAGAAATGACGATAAACCGTTGCTAAAATAATACGATTATGAGTGAAATTTCGTTTTTTTAAAAAATTGCTATTGTTAAAGGTTGGAGCAATAGAAAAGTTGTCCATAGTAATACTTGTATTATACAAATATATATTATTAATAAATTTTCCCGTTTTTCTACCGTTTTTTTTTTTAGTTTTTCACAGTTGTTGAGAAAACTCCGAAGAAAATCGAAAAATCTTTTCTAAAGTACCTCCCCAGTGAAATTTCCTTTCAGAAAAATGTCTTTCATTATAAGTTGTAGCAAAATTGCTGCTTGAAAAGTTGTTCACAGAAAAAAAAAATCGTAATATACAAATATATTTCGTACATCGTCAAGGACTGTGTATACAATAGTATGTAACTTCGTGAATCCTACTTTTTGGCATTTTTTTAGTAAGTATCTGAATCAATCAAAAAATTTCCAAAAATCAGTGCTCGAATAGATATTTAATTACTTAGATATTTGAAAAAGTTGTATATTTTTGTATAATATAAAAAAAAAAAAGTAGGTATTCAAATAAAAATAACATAATATATCTACTCTTGATTTCAATCTTTAAAAGTAGTTATATCGATAAACGTCGAATTGCCGTCGTTTTACGTTTGACTGTAGTAACAAAGGTATAAAAAAATGTAACAAAAAAAGTAATCAAATAAATAAACAATAATTTAAAAAAAATTAACGTTCACGTTACTTCACAAATACTTTAGTTATAAACATAAAGAAGGCAGTACACGCTTCTTTCTTCGTTCGGTCAACCGGTTTAATTTCGATAATTTCCTGAAAATTTAAGTATGCGCATTAATCAGTAGGTAAGTACGTTTGGTTATAATAATGTCTTTTGTGGGACAATAAGCATAGTTTCAATAACACAAAATGATTATTTATTTATCGATAAGTTATTTGATGTTTGCCATTTTATTACCTATTGATTACCTATTGAGCTACCTGCCTATAATAAAGTTATTAAATAGGTATATGTTTATTTTTGGTACATAATATCGTAAAAGTTCACAAAAACCAACGCCTGCAGTCTCCTGAGATGCATATTTTGCAATAGCAAAGTGTAATACACATTAATAAGAGATTATCACGAGAATCATTTCCGTGTCAAAATTTCACAGTTTTCTTCTACTATTTACGTATTACCGAAGAAATTGTATAAGTATAAAATAATACGTGAACAGTAATATTTTTTTTTTTTAACATACCTCGATCATATATGAATACCGCGAAGGTTATTTTTTTAAAAATTTTTTGAATGCGGATTGGGCGAAGTTTAAAAATTTAATAACGTCGTTTTCTAAATTGTTCAGAACCATTTTATAACGGACATTTTCCGATATTCCGGTAAATTGCTAAAAAAAAAATCTGCAACTCCAATAATAATAGAAAAACCTAATATATCTCCGAGCAAAATAGCAATTCACATCAAATCACGAGCGGATAATGTCCCTTTAGACCCCCAACTGAAAGCCAAAATCAAACAGAAGCTGTTAAACGTAGGTGATAATATAAATGTTGAGCACAATCTATCTTTTCCTTTCACAGCAAACAGCTAAAATTAAGGAAAGCTGCTGGTATGGACGGGATATTCCCATAATTCATAAAATATACAGGACCTTCGGCTAGAAACTGGCTTAGACAATTCTTCTCTAACATCTTAGACTCGGGTCAAGTTACTCACCAATTCTAGACTCAAGTCTAGAAAGTCTATACGGGACAATATACCTGAATCTTTCGACCTGGAGAAAGAATGGAACAAGGAATGGTCGACAGAACCACTATCAATAACATATCCAAGCCAATCAGAAATGACTATGTTCTTACGCCGGAAAACACGGAACCGCCTTGACAGGATTAGAACCGGACATGCCCGAACTAAAGAAATGCGTTTCAAATGGGGAATTACAGACAACACTCAACGTGACTGTCGAAACCCAGTACAAAATGTCAAACATGTCAACTAGGAATGCCTCTGAGAAAGTTCCAAGGAACATGGAATGATATATTCACAGCGTTCCCTGAAGCGATTATATGGATAGACTCATTGGACTTAGAATTCTAAATCCTAAAACTTGATAAAAAAAAAACCACTGTTATATTATTAACTACTTATTATTGATTTATTATACTCCTTTAGCTCATTATATACTAAATTTAAGTTTAAATAATGTTTTGTTTTTATTACAGTTATATATATATATCTAATATCCATGTTATAATATTAATTTTATGTTCTGTTATGTAAACTATGTAGTCAATTTTTTATACGCCATACGGTAAATAAATACATACATAAACAAATCAACTATTGTTTCGTGGATACGGTCGAAAGTTAACGAGGTCCCGGCAACCGAGTAATATATCCTTGTAAATATCCTATGATTTGAGCAATTTTTTTGTGAGAATATACCGCCCATTACAGCATTTCGTATGATTCGAATTTTTTTTTTTTTGCGTTGTAATTCACAACGCGTCGCGCAGCGTGTTTCTACTATACCAAACCCATCAATTACATGACACCATACCTATTTAAAATGACATCGACCGTGCTGGTCCTTGCCGAGAGCACGATAATCGTGACATACATCTTCTTGGAGGTTTTGTGTTTCCTGTGCGCGAAAAGCTAAACACAGTCAATGGCAGTATGGCACACGATCGTTAAAATAAAGTTCTACGTGCGTATATCCGAAAAACAATTCGATATTATACAGTATTCTTGTTTATACTTTTTAATTGTTAATAAGTATTTCGGAGTGCCGACTGCGATCGAATTTACATACTCCTATACTACAATCATCACCTACTCATCATCGCAGTGCTCGTCAACAAATAAAGTCGCCACTCAGTGGTTGTTGCACTAGTAACATCTTCGGTCTAAATATCGTAGCCGAGAGATTTTATTCAAAATTTAAAAGTTCGCGAGCCTAAACGACTTTATTCACTGACGAGCGGCGAGTAATAATATTCACTCTGTGTAATCCAACCACACACAGTTAAAAGTAGTTAGTAGATAACTGACTATATTTTAGATTCTGAATGGAGCGAAGAAGCTTATGGTTTTACAATGGTGTGTATTTTTTAATTTTTTTTTCCGTGGGCAAATTTTTTACCAGCAATTTTGCTCCGATTTATAATGATAGCACTTTTTCTGAAAGTAAATCTGACTGGGGAGGTACTCTAAGGAGGTAATTTTGATTTTTCTCTGGGGTTTTACAAATAAATAGGAAAAATCGAGAAAAAATATGGGAAAACCGAAGGAAAAACGGAAAAATAGGTACAATATTAAACAAATATATAATGCCGATGTAATTATTATTTTACCATAATATGGCATATATTATATTATTGTCAAAGTAACACTTTCAACTGAACTCTGCTCAAAATCGTTTTTTCGTTAACAACGGTTTATCTTTCCTTACATATATTCCTAAAGTTTCCCCTATACTTTACCTTCCTAACTTCTCACCTATAACTGCACCCACGTGCGAAGTATTTTCGTCTCTTTTTTTTCTTGTATTAATTTTTAATTTTTTTTTTTTCAATAAACTATGAATTAAAAATAATTAAATGCTATCGCTATTCGAAAGCGTCATTATTGTCAATATATTCCTCGAGCTCCACTCAGGATTCAAACAATTTAGAACACTTTAGAAAATTTTAAACGCCTATAAATGGCCCAAAAATGATAAGAATGTTTCGAAAATTTAACCGCGTATAGAAACAATCAATATAAGCGACCTGTGAAAATGTCAGGTTTGTACGATTTTTATTTTTTCGAATTCCAAAAAAAAAAAAAAACACAATATCGAAAATTACGAATCCGTTATTGCCGTAATAATATCGTGCCGGTCGTTGAAAATAATGCGACGACGGCGCGGCGAGTGACGGATCCGAGTGTCGCGCGTCGGTTATCCCGTACTCGCGCGGGAGTGTCTCATTATGTCGTGATTTACGCCGGCTCCCCCCCCCCCTTGTCCGCTGTCCCGGCACCGCATATTACCGCACGCGTCGGGAGGATCGGTTTCCTCTTGTCCGAAAGAATTTATCGCGCGTGAATTTTTTTTAAAAATTTTTTTCATACACACATACACACACACTCTCCAACTACGCGTCCTTGCCAGGTTGGGTTGGCGTCTATTTTTAGCGATCATTATTAACGGTCGGTCCGGTATTTATACGCGTGCATACTCCATACGGCTCGTACACGCATCACGTATGTACACTATAAACGTGCGAGTGTGTATGGGTATGCAGTATCACGTAGATATTGCGTTATAGGCACGCGTATAAATAAAACGGGCGATACCGCGGCCGCGGAAAGAGCGGAGGGGAAGTGCGCGAGAGCTGGTCAGAGGGGAAAAAAAAAGCTAGGCAGGGAGAGGAGGGTGTGAGAGAGGCCGATCGCAGTAACTACCTGTATGCATATTGTGTGTACGCGTTTTATTATTTTTTTTTTCTTTATTTTATTTTTTATATATGTACGCACACACACACACACATATATATATATAATACGAGAAGAAATGTTTGAAATTCCCGCGTGTTCACGGGTCCGTTACCCCGGGATTGCGCGGAGACAAGTTGTTTACGTTTGGAGCGGACGGAGCGGAGCGAGAGTGAGCGAGAGTGAGAGAGAGAGAGAAAAATCACAATTAAGTATAAAATATAACGTATCGTATATACGCACGGCAGAGACGGCCAGACGGACGCGCGCGATTGGTATCGCGGTTCGCAACCGCGGCGGTTTTTTTAATTTTTTTATCCCCGCGAGAGAGGTTATCACTGTAAACCCAACTTAACCCAACCTAACCCCCGTGCGATCGACGGCGATTCCCTACGGTGTGCAAAGACTCGTTTATGTGTGTGTGTGTGTGGGGGGGGGAAACAATTGACTATTCACGCGAGGACCGTACGAGAGTAGGTACCCGTCTATCCGATCGCGTTTCCCGGAAGATGCCGAGCATTCCGCCGCGCGTTATTATAATATTGTGTTTTGTAGTTTTCCCGGAACGAAACGGTGATGAGGAATGTATCCGTTTTACAAATCGCGTTTTTAGTCCGTGACCGACATTTTTCGGCCGGTAAAAAATGCTCCGCGTAACTTATAAAAGACGCGGAATTTCCTCCCGACCATTCGTTTTACTAGATTTCCTTTCTGATAAATGTAAAAAAAAAAAAAAAAAAATTACCGACAACAAATGACGTGACAACGTGATATGTGCTGTAGCAGCGTATTGAATAGATAAATAATAAATGTACGGGTATACGCATCTAAAATGGGGCTGAAAAGACCCCGAAAAATGTCTCGCTGTAAGCGCGATATAATATTCCATTTTTATTATAATATTCCGTTACAAACGCGTCATTGCCTTGATGTGTATATGTGTCAATGTAAATCACTTTTTAGCCTGGCGTACTTTTGAAATTTTATTATGATAATTTTTTTTTATAATAGTTTTGAAATTCATTTACTTAGTTCTTAACAAATAATAATTGCGATTTTAATAGTAGTCGACCACGACGTGAATAATAAAACAGTGTACAGTGGAAATTCAGTTTTGAAAGTGAATCATACAACCAGTGTCGGCCTGGCACACCAATAGCCCTTGGAACATTTTGTTTTTAGGGGTCCCATTGGTGAAAAATTTAAAAGTCACGAAAATCAAAGTGATATTGGGTAGGATGTAATTTTCAGGGACATTTCAGTTGTCAGTGATTGGTGTACAAACAAAATCATTCAATAATTAATAATATTAAATTATTGTATTTTATTATTATACTGCAGTCTGCGATAGTCAACTAAAGTCTGAACAATATCAATCCCCGTATAAAAAATAGCCAGTAGTTAAATTACGGTATTTCATGAATCTTGGACTTTGAGGGGCCCCCGGAGACGAACACGACTAGGGGCCCCGGCCGCGTTCGCGGCCTAACAGCCTTGGTCAGGTTAACACTGCATACAACATCTAACAGCATGGGTTCAGTGAGACATCCGGGTCTGCTCTTTTTTGAAACGAAATGTATACAATAAAAATATAATAATCGACTATTATTATTTATTTATTTTTTCACGGTTTTATGGTGTCGGTAAATAAAAAGCTAGTGTACCACCCATAATAAAGACGAATATTCTTACAGGTATACGTACGCGCATTAATCTGAAAACAGGGATACGAATGCATCAACAAATACACCACTGGCATATATGACGGCGATAAAATATACCGGTTTTGAAAAAAAAAAAAAAAAAACAATTTTACAATAGCGTCCGGAGATCTGGAATTTCGAACATTTAGACATCATTTAAAAGCGGGATATTTAAATAATTGTCGAAAACGGTGGTTGGTTTGTGGAATTTCGCATATTTTTACGTTGATTTCTGGGCTTACCGTTGGAAAAAAAAAAAACTGTAATTCGTTAAACCAGTCGAAGGCGATTATTATTGTTTTCTTTTTTCAACGCCGCGACGACAACAGTTTCTGGTCCGCATTTTTTAAATTTTTTATTATTAATACTATCGGTTATTTATTATTATTATTTTTTTTTTAAACGAAAAGGGCTTTAAAAGAATTCCGAATTGCCGGTCCGACCGCTTGTTTCTGTATTATGGAAAACGACGTCGTTTATTCACTCGACTGCACAGACAGTCGTTTATATCATTACGTAAACATACCGACCGAAGATCATATCTTTTGCCGTTTTCGTACCGAAATAGCTGTCGAACGTTTCGCGGAAAATGTTCGTACGAATCAAGTGTCGTAAAAAATAATGATATTAATAATAATAATAAAAAATACGGCGTAATCACCACGTACGAGTAATAATAATACGTATAATTATTATTCCGGGTGTCTGCAGAAAATTGCATTTGCAAACGCGAATAGAATTTTATGACAGGTTCGTGTATGCTATAATATAATAAATCATCGTGTACACGCTGTCTCGTGCGTTTTGTTGTAAGATA